CCTCTTTAAAGTGTTCAAGAGCAAAGATGTGTTTGAGGACTAAGGTGTGCCTGAATCAAGCCATGGTTTTTTCAATAACCTCATATGCATGCGAAAGCTGGACAATGAAAAAGGAATTTTCATTGATACATTTGAGTTATGGTGTTGGAGGAAAATATTAAAAGCACCAAGGGCTGGCAAAAGACCTATTCTCTCATACTTCGTGCATATTATCTGGAGGAACCAGGCACTGGAGAAGGATATCATGTTTGGTCAAGTGGAGAGTTGGAGAAAAAGAGGAAGACCCCCAGAGAGATGGACTGACGCAGTAGCACCAGTGATGGACTCAGGCCAGCAACAGTTGTTTGGTTGGCGCAGGATGGGCAGTGTTTCATTTGGTTCTGTATATGGCCTCTATGAGTTGGTACCAACTGCATGGCACCTAACAACAACAACAATCATCTTACCAGGGAGTATGGTGGCTCTGTAGGTTAAACACTGGACTATGGACCACAAACCGGCGGTTCCATCCCACCAATTGCTCCACAGGAGAAAGATTTTTGCTCCCGCAAAGATTCACAGTCTAAAAACCCTATACAGGACAGGTATGAGCCAGAACCGACTCGACGGCTATTAACAACAACAACAACTAATCTTACAGGTAAAACATGCCAACCGCATGCTTATTCTCAAGATATGGGATACTAACGGGGCTCCCTCAAATACCTTTAACTCAAATACCTTTTTTAAACAAAAATTTCTTTTCTAACTACCAAAATGCAATCACTTTCCAAAGAGCAACATTAAATATGTATGAAAATCAACAAGTTTTAAATTTGGATCTTAATTTTTAACTTCAAAATGAAAATACATTCTCTTCAAATCTGAATTATTTGCATAAGAAATACTACATTCTGTTTTAATTTGCTGGTGTTGCTGTAGGATAAAACACTGAACTGCAAGGTCCGTTTGAATCACAAGATTGGCGGTTCAAACCCAGCAGCCTCTCCTTGTAAATGCTATACAGGGTTGCTGTGAGTCAGAACCAACTCAATGACACTTAACAATTCTGAAATAGATCCAATTAGATATTGGAATTGTCTCTAAATAAAATTTTGACTGAAGATTAATTACATGATATTTTACATGGGCACACTCCACTAACATAAAGCCCAACCCACTGCCAATGAGTTGATTCTGACTCATAGCAACCCCGGACGGCAGAGGAGACTTGTCCCAGGGTGTTTCCAAGGCTGTAAACCTTTATGGTATCAAAATGCCACCTCTTTCTGCTGTGGAGCAGCTGATGGGCTCGAACCACCCACCTTTCAGTTAGCAGTCAAGTGCTGAATCACTGTGCCACCATATGCAGTTGCTGTTGTTGTTAGGAGC